TCGAAGGAGGCATCGCAGAGTGTGCATGCATGTAGGGCTACAGGGTGCTCAACTGTTTCAGGAAGCTGTGACATAAAATGCAGCTTGTCCCGGATGACTTGCAGGACAGAAGGATCGGTTGTGATATCTGGGCTTCTGGCTGCTCGCCGCTCAAGTTTGCGGAGTCGCTTCCTGAGCTTGACCTGCATCGCTTGAACTGGGTCCTGAATGCTATAAAGCTGAAAGAGGTCCTTAGTGGTGATGCGGCTGGTGTGTGCTGGCAAGTTCAGCACTGATCGCACCTTGTAAGCATGCCAACTGCGTAGCTGCTTGGCCGACTCCTCGCTAAGTCCGACATCTGAGAGGCCTGTAGTCAGTGTGCTCAGGACTGTGCTTTGCCAAACCTTAAGTCTCGACATGGTGCTCGCGTGCCGGCGATTGTAGACAAACTGGCGGACTTGATGCAGCTTTTGCTTGGCTTCCCCAATGCGGTAATGTAAGGACTGCAGCTCGAAGTGGTTGTAGGAGATCATAACCCCCAGGTACTTGCTACAGGAGACCCACTGGAAGGCGGGGAACGATTTGTTGGGCCCTATGCGCCATCCGCGAACCTGCTCGCCCTTGGAGTTGGTGATCCAGCAGCCATGTTTGTTCATCACGTTTTGGGATTCTCTTCCCGCTAACTTCACTAAGATGACGCACTTGCTAATGTTGACGCGAAGGCGGTGTTTGCGGACCTCTTCAAGTAGCGCTGCGATGAGAGCATGAATGGCCCTGAGGTCCTTGTCAGAGCGGATAGTCCGATGGAGCGTGAGATCATCGGCATAGCCTGTCAGGAATTTCAAGACCTGCTCAGCACCGAATAGGTCAACCAGAGAGCGGAAAAGGTCACCTGTAAGGAACGAGAAGAGTGTGGGGGCGAGCTTACATCCTTGTTTAATGCCTGCTGTGGTTTCAACAGAGGTGGAATCTCCCTGCGCGTGAAGAACATAACGAGACCCGTCATGTAGAGCCTGAACAAGGTGGACTGTGTCCTGATCGGCCCCTTCTCTCTGAAGAAGGTCGATGATCTCTTGGCGAGAGACAGTGTCAAACGCTTGGCTGAGGTCAAGAGCAAAGGTGAGGCCGCCGACTAAGGCTGGGGCCTGTGTGCCTTGTTGCAAGGCATGTCTCGTGGGGTGAGCCTGTTCTAACAGGGATCGAGCCTCTCGCAAGTGATGCACCACGCGTTCTAGCGCGTCTGACAGCCCCCGACCTGGTAGATAAGCGAACTGTGGCATGTGCTTGAGGAACGAGAGTGTCAGTGGTTGAAGCGCTTCTCTGGCCGCTCCCGCCAGTCCCTTTGCGTCAGGTCTAAGGATGCCCAGGGGTCTCAGGTTTGCGGGTTTGTCAGAGGGCTTGCCCGGCTTGGGTATTAAACAGAGATCTGCGTCTACGAGGTCGGATTCTAGACTGTCCTCGGCCTGCTTGGATGCTACGTGTTCGGAGAGGACCGGTGCAACGAGATCGCTACACAGCCTCCATACAGCCGCTGGTGCCGCTCCGTCAGGAACAGCTTTGTTCGGCTTGATAGAATGTATGTGAGCTGCTAGTTTGGGTGGCTCCAAAGCAGGGAAAGCTCCATGCATTGTCCGTAACGGAGGGTGGGCCGCAAATACCTGATTGGCATAGTCCCTGAGGGCTGCTAGTTCCTGCGCTGGACCTAGGAGGTGTCCTGTGTTGTCCTTTAGCTGAGCTCTGCGCGCGGGCTGCCAAGGCTGCAGCTTTTTGAGGGTCTGGAAAGAGATATGTTGATCACCTTCAGCTAGACACGCGTCCACCTCCGATATGAAACTCGCAATTCGATTTTTCTTTGCTTGTTTCACAGCCTGGCGATGTGCCACTTGTGCCAGCTCAGCTTCTGTTTCCGGCGGACGCGGCGAGTTCTGATTAGGAGGCTGTGCCATTGCTTTTGGTGACTCGATCAGCTGTGCTGAGGGAGTGGTATTCGCAACCCTGTCATGGGTGCGGGCCCGCCACATGCGACGGGTTTCCGATTCCAGCGGGATTGGTCTTCTTTTGGGAATTTTTGGGAAAAAGCGTTCTGCACCTTCCAAAAGCAACGCATTCCATGCCTTGGGGTCCTGGCAGGTGTCGATTCTGGAAGCGATCCAGTTGTGCAGGGCCTTAGCCGTATCGTCCTCCTCCCTGACTGAGGCTTGTAGAGCTAGTGAATCATACCGGCGCGTGCTGGGTTTGTGGGACGGGAGCAGCCAGTGGTGTTGGAGGGGTACGTCAGCCTTGAGTGGGTAATGCCCTCCTTTCTTCCAGCTGCCCAACGGACAGTCCACCCAAGGGGCTGACCTTTTGGCTTTGCCTCCCGCCGTAGATTCTTTGGTTAGAATGAAGTCAATTTGCGACTCCACGCCTCCTTGTGAGAAGGTAGCTATATGGTCACATTGCCAGGTGTTAAGGGCAACCAAACGCAGCCTGAGCAGCAGATTGAACAAGTTGGATTCGTCAGGGCGGTCCTCAGTGGGTGGCTTCACGTGCGTTCCCACCAATGGAGGAGCTCGGACGCAGGGAGGTGTTAAAATCGCCTGCTACAATAAGGGAGTCCCTCTTAGGCACCTGCTTGATCACCTTGGACATGACAGATAGTACCTTAGCACGGTCGTCCTTATTGGACTGGATGGTCTTGGCAGAAGACCAAGCGTGTTGGTACACCGCGACAACAACCAGCCGAGTACCTGCAATGTCCGCACGAGCTTCTAAGACTCTACCCGGGCTCCACTCCTTCCAGCGTAAGCTCTTGGGGACGAACTTGGGAGAGAATAGGATCATGACTCCATCAGCGCGAGTCGTGGATGGAGCTCGCGGTTCTTGCCGAGTGTTTCGCTTCGCTGCTTGTTTAGGCCGGGTGTTGGGTTTGGTAGACTCCGAGGCTGAGGAGATACAGTACCACCCAGAAACGCTGAATTCACTGGTCTCAGTCCAGTGCGTTTCCTGCAATATGAGGATGTCGCAGTGATGAGAGGCTTCAGCTGCTAGCCACGTTTTGAGTTCGCCCCATTGCTGTTGGCCTAGGTGGCCCGCGTTCCACGAAAGAACTCGAATGGATCTTTCCAACCTTCCTGCCCTGCGGGAGGCTGTGCCATATGCAGGGGAGTCAGCAGTCTGTGACTGAAGCTCTCTTCGAGTGGGTGGGGGGCGCACCCCCAGACGATCAACCAGGGTAGGTGTCAGAACCTGCCCTCGGTATGGTACGGGCCCGTCACTACGGACTGTCCTTCTACATGCTGTCTTGAACGAATTCTTACGAAGAGATGCAAAGTTTTGTGAGTGCACTGGCAATTGCGCCATCCGCTACTTTCGTCAAGAGACAGAAGCCTAATGACTCCCTCCACCGCGCGGAGGTGGAAACCCTACCGCCTACCCAGTGTTGCAATGTTTTAAACAGAGTCTGGGCCCAGGAATTGGGACCTGGCGGCTCAAAGCAGCTCCTGTGAGAAAAGGGAGAGGACCATGGCGTAGAAGGAGGCACAAACCTTTACTGTTCAGAAAAGGGCCCGGTTGGAACCTCTAGCACAGCAGTTGCGCCCCAAGCCTGTTCGAAACCTCTCATTCAGCGCGGCCGCTTGAGCACTTGTGGCGGCTGCCACTACACTGCCACTGCCACTACACTGCCACTGCCACTGCCACTGCCACTGCCACTGCCACTGCCACTGCCACTGCCACTGCCACTGCCATACTGCAACTGCTGCTGCTGCTCCGCTGCTACTGCTACTGCTACTGCTGCTACTACTACCACTGCCACTGCCACTACCACTACCACTATCACTACCCCTACCGCTGCCGCTACAGCGACTACTACCACTGCCACTACTATTTCTGCTACTACTACTACTACTACTACTACTAACTACTACCTACTCCTACTCCTACTCCTACTCCAGGCCTAGGCTACTGCTACAACTACTACTGCTACTGCTACTGCTACTGCTACTGCTGCTACTGCTACTGCTACTGCTACTGCTACTGCTGCTGCTACTGCTACTGCTACTGCTACTACTACTACTACTACTACTACTACTACTACTACTACTACGACTGCTACTACAACTACTACTACTACTACTACTACTACTACTACTACTCCTACTACTACCTACTACTACTACTACTACTACTACTACTACTCCTACTGCTGCTACTGCTACTGCTACTGCTACTGCTACTGCTACTGCTACTGCTACTACTACTACTACTTTTCAACCCTACTGTTACTACTGCACCGGCCACTCCCCAAGTGCTTGATGCAGGAATCAGAGTTGAGGTTAGGGTTTTGGGCATTGGATCACTACCGTATGTGCATTGGCGTGGGATGTTCACTTGGACAGCGCGTGTAGAGTGGATAAGAGACTCTGCCTTGGAAATCGAAGGGCCAGTCAGATGTTCTGCAAAGTCCTGCGACAACGGAGTGTTGAGCGACTCGTTCTTGTTGGTGGATCAGAACGGCCAACACAGCCCAAATTCTAATTTAAGACGATGTCGGACTGAGCCCATCCTGGGGGCCCAAGTTCCCAGCAAGATCACAACTTCCGAGGAAAAGACTTCCAGCGAGCTCGCGGAAACTTCTCTTGGCATCACTTCGGGTCAGCCTCGCGGGTTTGCATTTTTCTTGGTTTCAGGCTTCGAGGGTTTCAGAATTTCTTCTGGCCCGGGCTACGCTGTGCGGGCGGCTTTTGCCGCGTGTTACCCTCACTGAGCACTAGATTCAGTAGATCCGAGCACCTTTGAGCAAGGCTTCTCTTACCTTATGGCTTGTGTGACATCAGCTTGATCAAAAAACACACGAGTTTGCAAGTTTCGGAGAAGAACTGCTCTGGCTCCCAAGCCCTCAACCCTACTTCCTGTCAGATCAGAAACACTAGGTTTAGGGCTTAGGGTTCAGGCTAGGCCCCTTTCCCCCCCTGGGAACGATGTGCAGATGGCAGACGCTATACAAGCTTACATCCCTGGAGGCGTACCTGCCTTTCCACATGATTCTCGGCTCTGAGATGATTCCCTGGCATATGCTGGAGCTGAAGGCCGGCTAGTATGGCATAGTAGAGTTGAGTACGGCATGGTATAGAATAGTATGAAGATATAGTATTGAGATATAGTATTATGATCTAGTATACTGTAATATGGATAGTATAGTATAATACATCTGGGAGCGCAGCTTCGGGCATAGTTTGCTTAGGAGCTGAGGGCAGAAAGGCATAGGGTCGCGATGCAGAAGGCTTATGAAAGGTTGTCGGGCTTGGGATCTCAGGATCAGGGTTCGACCTGAGGGATAGGGTTGGGGCACCCTATTATTGGTCCAAGAATGAACAGGCCGGCAAACAATACGACCCTCTCAACTCTGCAACCGCCAAGTTCTCTAAACCATACAACCTGCAATCCTAAACCTCACGGCCCCATAGGGTCCTCCTTGTAGCAGCACCCACAGTAACTGCCAGCAACCCTGATAGCCTAAGCTCTAAGCCGTAAACCCTCAGCCTGAAAAGAAAGCCCTGAACCCTAAACATCTGCAAACACAAGGGCTGAGCTGGCCAACTTCTAACCCGGTGAGGGGCCGATGAAGTGCAGTACTATGGGGAAGAAAAAGGCTGGTACAGGTGGTGAATCCCCAAACAAACCGGCCCCGTACCAATGCCTCGGCCTGTAAGGCGTTCCAGATACGTGAGACCTTCATGCAGATGGAAAAGGGTGCCCCCGCAAAAAACCCTAAGCAAAACGAACGTCGTCGCAGGAATCCTTGGTACCTTGCCAGGGATTGCTGTTCCTCCTGACAGTGCCTGGGCTCTTCTTGCGACTGCATGGCCGAAGGTATAGTATGCAAGAGGTTGTCTAGGATACTAAGTAGAACTCGTTCGTTCCAGCAGCGTGCAAAAGAGTAAACTCTTGCCAAACTAAGCGCACTGAATGTAGTCTCACCTTCAAAGTTCTGAGGATCAACGCTATAATTGTGGCTTCAACTTGTGTCTTTGGGTTTTATGAGTCAGAAGTTTGCGTTGAGTTTGCGTCTCTGACATGATGCGAACCGTGAGAAAGAATCTGGCAACAGCAAGGAAGGGCAAGGGGCTAAACCGTAAACCCTAAACCTTAAACCCTAAAGACCTAACTCAGGCAGGGAGAAAAGAGGGTTCAAAAAAAAAAAACCTCAACCCTAATAAAGCGTCCTGAACCCCGGAAGTCTCAGGCGGCCTAGGCCCCCTAATGTAGGGCCTTGATAATTAGAATAGGGTTTTGGGGGTTCCTTATTGTAACTATAGCAGACTATACCCCCAAACCCTATTCTAAGTATTAAGGCCCCTACAGTACAGAACTCCATTATAGATTCCTTATCGATCCCTTTAAAGGAGCCCTACTCTAATTATTCAGGCCCCTACATTACAGAACTCCAATATAGATCCCTTATAGACCCCTTCAAAGGAGCCCTACTCTACTTATTGAGGCCCTACATCACAGAACTCCATCTATAGATCCCTTACAGACCCCTTTAAAGGAGCCCTACTCTAATTATTGGGGCCGCCACAGTAGGCTTCGGGGATCCTGGGCTGCAAGGGGGAGCCGAGGCCCTGGCCGTGGAGTACGCGGCTTCCCAGCGCCTTGTGCAGGCATCGGGCCCTGGGTGCCTTTGCTTGGAGGGTCGGGGGACTTAGTAAGTAGCTAATAAGTAGAGTTATAAGTACCCCAAAAGGGATCCTCACTGGGGTTATGGTACTTATAAGTCTCCAAAATAACTAGTTACTAAGTCCTCCGACCCTCCAAGTGGGGGCTCCTCACCTTCGGGATCCTTGTGTCTAGGTCTATGAGGCTTTCAGAGAAGTTTATGGGTTGCGTGTTGTTTTTTGTGTTTGCAGTTTCGGATCTCCGTCGTGCTTATGCCAGAAACACCCAAGCTCACAACCCGAATGATAGTTTTTTTGACGATCGTGCTGACGCAGTATTAACAACAGTGGTAGTGGTAGTCGTTGTCGTCGTAGCGCAGCAGCAGCAGCAGCGGTAGCGATAGTGGTAGTGGTAACACAAGAAGAAGAACCCTCCTGAACCCCTGGAGAGATTTTCCTGCCCAAAGCATCACGCTCCGAAGGTTGCGCCCGAGATCGCCGACGTGGTTAGGCCTTTGGTTACAGTAAGCCTAGGCTTCAGCAGGGATGTAGGGTTGATGGAGGGTTCAGGAGTTCAGGGTCCAGGGTTCTTGCGGACAAATTGTCCAGGGCCAGGGTTGAGGGCAAGGGACATAGCTGTAACCCCCAGCCCGAAGGATGTCCAAAGGAGTGCGCCCGAAATCCGCAGCCGCAGGATCGTGAGCGCCTCTGCGCCGAGCATCGAGAAGCACTCCGCCTCCCGTGCGTACGAGCTCTACCTTAGGTTCGAAGCTGAGCAAACCTCCTTGGCTTCGGTAGTTTGAGGGCTTGGTGTAGAGAGCTTTCAGGGGTTCGCGTTGAGGGCTTTGAGACCTTGACGCCTTAGGGAGTGGGGGCTTTCAGGGGAGTCGCTTTCAACAGCACGGAACTGGAAGCAAACCAGAGAGCTCCGAGAGGGCAAAACTCATTGATTGGAAACTTGGAGTGATTGAGTATGTTGTAGCGACTCTGACGACGTCATCGCGAGCTTCAGTGAAGGGGAGGCCCGCAGCAGCTGACGCTGGGTCTTGCTTTAGAGGGTGCCGCTCCGACTCTGCGAGGATGGGACGCTTGCCCTCCTTTCCCATATGCCCGTCGCTCTTCACAAAAGAAAGCTCTCTGTACTGCACCTAATCCTAACCCTCGGAATCTCCACACCCGAAGTGCCCAGAAGCTCTGAAGCCCGCGAGGCGTCGGGCGGAGTGTCACCAGTGGCGCTTGGTGCGCGACGACTTTCGGCACCCTCGATGCTGTGATTAGTGTGTCCTTGTAGTACTTGCTCTGATCAGATCATTATAATGCTGTTTTACGATGGCTTTTCTTGCTACTGTTGCCACGGGTGCTGTTATCATGATAGCTCACTCGCAATGACGACCATTGTTGTTACTGCCTGACTCAATAGAGTCTGCGCAGTGGCTATCATCATGCTGATGCCTGGCAACAGTGCAGTTGCCGGTTTGGTTTTGGGGATTCATGAAGGTCATTCGGACTTGCTGCGTTCTATGATTCATGAAGTCTTCTCGGCTCGGGGTTTCGCGGCAAAAAGAGATTTCTTTGTGAACCCGATGCACGCCGTCGCAAGGCACCGTGCCGTCATTCGACTCTGCTGTATGGCGCCTCGGCTTGAAGTCTCCCTGGCTGCCCTTGTCACGAATCTGCCTTCAGTGATCTGTGTAGGACATGGCTGAAGGTCGGGAAACGCAAAAAATGTTTTTGATTCTGGGCAGTACCCGGTGATTGGTGATGCCCTCACAAGGTATCTTGGACCTGCGTGCCAACGCCTGAAGTCTTAAAACCCGGAAGCCCGTAACTCGCGGCAATCTCCTGAAGCCCCAAGCGCGAACTTCAGACCTTCAGCCTAAAGCGACCTATAGAAATCGGGAAACCTTAACACTTACACCCAAAGCCCCGAGACCAGCTCTTCTTGTGCACCAGGTAGCCCCAAGCCCTACCTACACCCTAAACACCAGACCCTAAAGCCTACACCCTAAAACCCTAAACCCCTAAACCCTACACCCTAACCCCTGAAGCCCTGAACCCGGCTTTCCCCAGCGATCATCCCAGCAGTTGCTCAGAGGCCGGCACAGAGACGAAAGCGCCGCTTTGCTTTGACTTACCTTTTCAGGGTTTAGGGCCTAGGGTTTACGGTTTAAGGTTTAGGGTTTTCAGGGTTTGGTGTGTCTACAGTAGAGTTTAGGGATGGTTTTGAGGGTTTAGGGTTGACAGATGGTGTTTAAGTGACGTGGGATGACGTGGGCGGATATTCTGGATGGTTTCGGGGTTCAAAGGCATTAGAGTTTGGTGTTTCAGGGTTTTAGGGCTTAGGAGGCTCAGGGTTCAGGGTTGACATGTGGGATGTTGGTAGAAAGCATGGAAGACGGTGGGAAACGTACAACCTGCGGCAGTATCCGTTTGCTGTTAGGGCTCGTGAATTGAGATTGAGATGAGACTTGATTCATGCTGCAGCACGTTGCAGTAGGATGAGCCCTCGCTGCCGAATGTGCCTCCAGAGTCGACCATATATTGACTGTTCGGATAGCGTTTCTTTTGGTTAGAATGAACGGTATCTGCACCCAAACCCTACATGAAATCGGAGCCCACATCATAAGCCTAAGGTGGGAAGAGATCAAGAAGGCCGTGGAAGGTCTCCCCGAAGCCGTGGCGCGGCAGGATTGCACCAGATGTGCTGGTGCCAGGGTTTCATACTGAAGACATGGACTTAGTGGTGCAATGGGGTCCTGATGGGTCCTGATAGGGCCTTCTTATCGTCTTTTCGTCTAGGGTTGCATGGGCTTGTCCGCGTTCAGGGGTTCATCTGTTTACATAGGGGTTTAGGGGGTGTCTTACCTTTGGTTAGTAGGGAATGGAGGAATGGGGTACAATTAAAAATACTGTTACTACTATTACTACCATTCGTCGATTCCCTACTAACCAAAGGTAAGGTGTGAGGTTTCGCAGAGAATCTTCTTCAAACCCCGGAGCAACCGAAGAGCCAAGGCACGGGGGAGGATCGAGAACGAGCTGGGGCTGAAGGATGGCGTTGCTCGGAGATATGGCAGCTTCAATCATCTCTGCTGGGTTTCGCGCGGTAGGTTTTTTTTGGGGGGTCTTCCACGTTTTTTTGGGGGTTGGGGCAGTATTGGGAGTGCACAGGTCACGAGCATGCCCGCCTTCGTCCTGGACGGGGGCTCTCAGTTCATGGCGCAGGCGCCACGTTTGTGGATTTTATAAGGTTCCGACACTTCCCGGTAATGGTTCACAGGGATTGGGGGAATTGCGCTGGAATCGGGCCATGTTCATGCTGACATGCCTTCTAAACCTGCTTGGGTGCTTCGCTTCGCGGGCAAACACCATCATCTGCAGGACGGACAAAAGGAGAGTGTACCCTGAAAGCTTTGAGAAGCCACGGATGAGGGTTAGGGACGCTGTTCTCCCGGCCGCCTGCCTCAGCCTCTTTTTTTTGTGGCGGGGAGGTTCCTGCCGTTCCCGTTCATGGGCGCCAGGTCGGTAGCAATCCACACCTGGACTACCAGTCGGGGGTGCACCTGCTGGCCAGAGTGTTAGAGGCACATCTTGCCAGCTTGAAGCAAACCCATTAAGCTTTGCCAGTTGTCATGGTTTCAGGCTTATGTTTCTGCAGGTCTCGGGCTTCGATTCGTGGGAATCCCATTGAGGTCTCGGGCCTACGAAAAAGCTGCAAAGGTGAGGGAAAGATTATCTGTTCAGATACAGCGGTTCCCAGGTGCAGCTGCAAGATGCCAATATTCAGGGCTCGGCTCTTGTATCACGTGCCTTCGAGGCCTTCAAGATTTTCTACTGGCTGGAGTCTATGGTCTCGTTGTTGTCGCGCTTGCTTGCGTCGTTGTCACTCTTCTTTGTCGTCATCTTCCCTCCTTCTCACCTTCTTCATGATCATCATCATCATCTTGCTCGTTGCCATGAACTTCATCATGTCCTGATCTGTGTCGTTGGCATCATTGCCATGGCCGTCGCTGGACTCATTTTTCACGTCAGTAGCCGCAGCATCGGAAGCAGCAGTGCCTAGAGGCCTAGAGTTCCTCCATCATTATCATGACTGGTTGTGTTGTGGTTATTGGTGGAGGTGAGCTGCGGGTATGGAGGTGTAAGCGATGCTAGTGAGAGGAGTTGGCGGAGAAGTACGACGAGACCGCTGTCCCACAATTGCAGGCGCGACGGGCCCGGAAGCCGAGAAAAATCCACCAAAAATCTGTAGCATCCCGCATTGCTCTTCATCGCAAGACGCCGCCTCTCCAGTCCGGCGGCTGCGACCAACCAGCAAGCAAGACAATTCTATCCATCTATCCATCTATCTATATTTATATATTCAGACGTTGTCCAGCGTCATCTTCCACTGTCTGTTGAATGGACACAGTCTCAGAGCCCTCCTTGCTTGTAAAGCCTCGACGAACGGGGCACCCTCGGGTCTCCTGACAGCACCCTTTTGCGTTATGGAAGGGCAAAGAAGCGAGAAGCGAGAAGAGAGAAACGCGAAGGGAAAGGAGAGAAGAGAGAGAGTTTCGCCACTACAGCAGGACTGCAGAAATCCAGGTAGCGACAGAGGTGCGGAAAGACAGAGTGAGCCCCATCACAACCCCTTCAGCCTCTGGATTTACGACTGCCGTCCAGGTTCAGATGTCTGACTTGGCAGCCAAAGCGCAGGGGCACGACGGCTCGACCCCGCTGCAGGAGCAACTTTCCACCCTCAGGATTTGCCCCACCCGGTATGGCAATCACGAAGCAAGACAACAGCCGAAACCCATGAATGCCCTGAACCTCGTACCCTGAACTGGGGCCCTGGTGTGAGGGCGTTGCAAAGGATCTCTTTAACAACAGGAGTTCTAGAAGGAGTTGTCTCCAAGGACAAGCTGTAATTTGAAGAAACCTGCATGTAGACAGGAGTGAACACTCGAAGGCCAGCACTTGCTTTGAAGGCTGTTATCTCCCCTGCTGGCATGTCGCTGAAGACAGAAGACAAGCAGGCACCTGAAAGCCTTGTGGTGCGTAGTCTGGAACCCTTGCCTCAAGTCGTCCGGCCCGGCTGCGAAATCGTTTCTCTCACCCCCTAACGAACCGCCAGTTCCAAGTTCCAAACGCCATCTTCCGTATTCCGTATCATGAGCACTGCCTCATTTGCGGCCGTCTTGTTCCTGTTCTTCCGGTTGCTACGATTAAGTCCCAAACCTTAACCTAAACCCCGAACCGTCGACAACAAAGCCGACAAGCCCCGGATCCGATTCCCTGAGCCCGGAACCCACAATCCTGAGCCGAAACACAGGACCTCTCCTTCTCCGTGGAGCAAGTGGGACCGACGCTTCTCCGCGTGACCTGCTGAACGCCCCTATGCTTTGATGTATGCAGGTATGATCATGTAATCATGAATGTGTATATATATATATATGTATGTATATAAACAGATAAGTAGATGGACATCTATGTGTGTGTCCCTATGCTGGTTGTACTGAGGTGCCGAGTGGGACCCCACGAATCCTAGAGTTTAGTAGGATAACGTGTTTGTGCACGTGCTTCTCCCACCTTACGAGTGCCGTGTCCTCTTAAGTCGTTGCATTCTGATTGCTGATACGATTTGCTGTTGGGGCTGTGCATGTCATACCTAAGGACCTATTTGCGGTTGGTTAAAGCCACCTCTTGCAATGATCAGGGCGAGCCCATGCCTGTGAACCCTAAAGCGTAAACCAAGTTGCCCGAAGCCTACCTAAGCGGTTGGACATCCTTGGCAGTTGTGGGAGACTAGCCGTATTGGTGCTGGAAAGGACCACAGCGGAGTACTAGTCGGAAGAATTTCATTTCATTCAACATGCTTGTCTTTCACGTGGAGCTCCGGTTGGTGAGATCTTCATGACAAGCAAGTAGTGAATCTTCATGTCAAAGAAGGCCTGTAGACCACCATTTCTGCTGCGGGGCGGTGCAGGCTCGCCGAGTTTCTGTTTCACGATGAGAGAACACCATACGCCTAAGGCGTGGAAAAGGAGACAGAACCACGATGGCCGACGCATCTGTGATTTCTTTCATTGGCGAACCGAGGTTGTTGCGGTGAACAGCTGCGTTGCATTGCTGCCATTTTCGAGTGTGGAAGCTAGCATGCTGTTGCGTTGCCGCATATAACTCGGCGATTGTGTAGGCGAGCCCTATTGTTACTTGTAATAAGTAGGAAAATCTTTTGTTTACACCCACACGTTGTTCGACCTCCCGACGCCCTGCAGCAATTATAGTACAAAGCCGCCTGCAGCTGTCCCTTCAAGCCTTGCCTTTGGAGGTGGCGTGGCCGGCGGCTCGCGAAATGAAGCCACCCGGTTCCCTCTAATTCCCAGACGGATGATTGGCGGAATCGTGGTGGAAAAAGGACCTCGAACCGGTGGTTGAATGCAGGAAGGAGGCGGTTCAAGGCGTAACAGCAGCAGTGGCGGCAGCAGCAGCAGCACCAGCAGCAGCAGCAGCAGCAGCAGCAGCAGCAGCAGCAGCAGCAGCAGCCGTGCTGCAATGCGATGTGCGCGTGCTTGAACAGGTTCCGGCAACCGCGAGGCTTCACCAGCGACCAACAGCACTGCAACACCGTACGTGACGCTGCGCACGAGGCGTCATTGCACGATACCATCCCCACCCCGGCCGCGCACCCGCACTCCACCGCTGAAATCTGCGCAACGAGGGCTTTTTCGGCTGCACATGATCGCTCCGTTCTTTCCGCCTCGCAGCACTGCTACGTGTTGAATCCCTGGCGAGCTGTCGGCCAACGAACCGCTCCCAGCTCAGCCTCCGGCATGGTGGCCGCCTTCACGACGGCTCCAGGAACAGGGTGAGGCTGCGCCGTCGCTGGTCGCCCTGCAAGTTGCCGCTGGTGCCATCGCTGGTGCCGGTTTTCCAGCCCTGCCATGGCACCAGCTCACCAACATTCCCGCCCAGTAGTCGGAACAACCGGATGACCAGCCTGTCGACGGTGCGCTCGATGCGGTCTTTGCCGCTTCACTCACGAGCTGGCTCGGTGCCCCTGTAACAGCCCCGCTGCGCTTGCCGCTGCACGGGCCGTAGCCCGCGACCCAGCTTTCCTGGAAACCGGACTTTGCTGCTGACAGACTAAGGTGTGAGGGGAAAGGACGGTGTTCAGTTTGGTGCCGCCCAGATCAAAGTTCGACATTACGGCAACTTGCTCAGGCTGTTGCTGGGCGGAAGTGGTTTATACAGTACACATCAGTACACTGCCGCTGTGAGGCGGAAGGAGGGCATGTGATTCTGCGTTGTAGCAATCGAAGGCTTTTTCTGGCATGTTGAACCTATGATCATGATGATGGTTTGACGTCTGGCAATGTCGCACGGTCGTTCAAGGACATCCCACTCACGGGAGGTATCGGTGTATCCTTCTACTTTTAAAGATTTGCCATGTTTGCCGCTGTCGTTGGCCCGAGCCGCCTCCCGTTGCGCTGAGCGCGGGAAGCGCCCATCACTATGGGCCGCACGACCCCGTCACACGACTCGCACTGAATGCTTTTCCGAGAAAAAATTACTGCAGCTCAGAGAAGGGACTAGCTTCGGATGGAAGGTTGGTTCGCGCTCGGATGGAGCGTGGCGCAATGGGTGGCTCACGAAGCCGGCCGGGCCGCGCCTGCTTTAGCCCAGCTGCCCCGTGGTCCTTGTTTTGGGGCTGGTTCTGTTTCGGTCTGCGGTTGGGCAGTGCTGCGACGGCGTTTTTCCCTTCCAGCCGGTTGCCGCCACTTGCACAAGAGCACCCCACCACCTCGCAACAAGCGTGGCGCACAGCCGCAACGCACGTCCTCGCATGTGCGGCGGAAGGTCGTGCGGAGTTGCAAGCCCTGGCGGCGCAAGCGGGGACTTCGGAGGAGCTGCTTTGCTGCTTGCTCCGGGAAGCAACTGCACCGACTCATGGGGGCGGACCCTCGCCACCCCAGCCAACGGCCGATGTGCCAACAACCCGTTGACGACCACGCGTCCTGGCTGGACGCTACGGGGGCCCAGGCGGCTCTCGGATTGCGCTTGCGAAAATTCATTACCCGCTTCACGGCTTATTCTTACTCGTACTTGCTTAGACGGGTCTGGTGTGCCGCAAGCTTTCCAGGAGTCGAGTGGTTCCACCAGCCACCTGCGAGCGTGGACGCCGCACCTTTACGCTGGCAAACGAATCGGGGAAGCTGCCCACCCTGGCCCGCCATCGCCTGAACGTGACGTGGCGAGCCGTCCGGAACGCGCGTTGCACGCTCTCGAACAAATGCAGCTGCTGCCCCGTGCCAGGTTGGCCGCTCCACGCGACCACAGGTCGGATGCAGACGCCGCCGAGCGCTTGACGCATTCGCTCAGCGAAAACACTCCTTTTGCTTCGCCACGAGGGGAGGCCCCAGGGGTGCTCCGACGGCGACACGGCGCCGCGCCCAATGGATGAGGCGACGCCGGGTTTCACGCCGCCACGCACACCGATCGCGCCTGCGCCACCCGACAACATCGAACCGCTGCCCTGGCACGATGCTCGCCCGCCGAGCGAAATCCCCGGCGAGCGCAACTCTTGGCTGTATGTCCCCTTGTTACATGCCCAGACTGGCAATCTCAGCGAGCGGGCAGAACATGTTTGGGGAGCATGTCCGATGTTGGGCCGAATAAGGCAGAATTTCAGATTCAAATTCGAATTTAATCGAATTTAAGCCTATGTCCTCTAGGACTCCGGTGCCTCTCTGGGAGGCTTAGATTCGAGTTTAATGCATCCCAGGAGCAGAGGCCTAAATTCGAATCTAAGCCGTGTCTGCTTAATGTAGCATAAATCCGAATTAAGAGCACGTATCGTCTCGCCGCAACAAGGCTTCAGGGTTTCGTCCTAGCAAGGTATGGGCTGTATGTATGGGATGACAAGCTCCGAAGTTTCTGCAAGTTGGAGTTTCCCGACACGCAATGTTGGATGTATGTAGCCGGAGGTAGTGCATGGAAACGCAAAGCGAATGATTTCGTCAACGAGTTTGTCCAAATTGTACAGTGACGAATCTGCTTGAGCGCGTGTTCTTTATTCCCCATGTCCTTATAGGACCGTAGTCTTCACCACAGGACTCGGACAGGCGAAACGAAAGCGAAGCCTTTTTGCGCACGAACTGGCCAGCAGGAAGGTGGAACTGAACTTTGGTGTCGGTTCCGAAGCTCTGCTGGAGCAAGCCCGTCGCCGCCCAATGCTGTGCATAAGGGAAATCGTTCGTGACTGCCAGATAGGCTGGGAAGTCACGGACGAGACTAGCCGATTTCACAAGGCCATCATGGAAAAGTCCACCAAGAAGAGCCGAAGCCTTCATGCCTACTTTTTGTCCCGCTTCTGAGGCAAGGAGCTGGCACGCAGAATTGCAGCTGCAGGTGGCTTATAGGGCAACCGTATGCTGCAGATTGTCGAGTGGGCATACGAGTTGGTTGATGATCCGAGGGACCCTTACTCCGCTGCTATCCGTCCCCAGGCCACCTTCCGGAATCGGAGTGCTGGCATGCAGCAAGAGGATGATCTTCAGCCACTGACCCTGCGATGAGTTCTGCCTTTCTATTTGTCCTCTTAAGGTTGTGCTCAAAGACCCTCAATGGGGGTTCGTCCGCAAACGTGCCGTTCTCAAGAAGCTCAAAGGCTTGGGAGGGGCAGGCCCTTTCGTGGCGAAGCATCATTGGCGGCTGATGCACTCTTTCGCCCTGAAGTTTGGGCCGCATGACGGCACCTACGCTGAAACAGGCCCGGGTGCCCGGAAGTTCTTAAACCTATGGAACGGCGTAGCCACCACTTTTGCCGTGACTTCCACAGCACAGTTTGCGGCGAATTCTTTCAGCACGCTTCTCCAGCGCGCCCAGAAGGGGCTCAGAAACCACCTCAATCGACGCCTCCGCTCATGCGACGGCCCGGAGAAGAAGGCCCTGCTCAGCAAGCTTGCGGAGGAGCTCCATAATTTGGATGTGTTTCAGTTCTTGTGTTGCGAGTCTTTCCGAATAGCTGATTACGTGTTTGGTCGCAGCGCGCGCCACTTTCGAGGCAGCTCGGCAACACAGGAGGAGGAGGAGGAGGAGGAGGAGGAGGAGGAGGAGGAGGAGGAGGAGGAGGAGGAGGAGGAGGAGGAGGAGGAGGAGGAGGAGGAGGGGAGGAGGAGGGAGGAGGAGGAGGAGGGAGGGCGGAGGGAGGAGGAGGAGGAGGAGGAGGAGGAGGAGGGGAGGAGGAGGAGGAGGAGGAGGAGGAGGAGGAGGAGGGAGGAGGAGGAGGGAGGAGGAGGAGGAGGAGGAGGGAGGAAGGAGGAGGAGGAGGAGGAGGAGGAAGGAGGGGAGGGGAGAGGAGGAGGAGGGGAGGGGGAGGGGGAGGTAGGCGGAGGAGGAGGGGAGGAGGAGGAAGGCGGAGAGGAGGAGGAGGAGGAGGAGGAGGAGGAGGAGGAGGAGGCGTAGGAGGAGAGGAGGAGGGGGGAGCGGTAGGAGGAGGGAGGAGGAGGAGGAGGAGGAGGCGGAGGCCACGGAGGCAGGAGGAGGGAGGAGGAGGAGGAGGAGGAGGAGGAGGAGGAGGAGGAGAGGAGGAGGAGGGAGGAGGAGGAGGAGGAGGAGGAGGAGGAGGAGGAGGAGGAGGAGGAGGAGGAGGCGGAGGAGGAGGAGGAGGAGGAGGAGGAGGAGGAGGAGGAGGAGGAGGAGGAGGAGGAGGAGGATCTTTCGTCGGTGTCTGGCGGACTGAGAGCGACGGGGGCTCACGCACATTCCTGTGCGAGTGCTGCTTTGAAGGGTGTAGCCGTCGTACTACAGCGTGCCTAGATGAGGCACCAACTGCCTCAACACTTCCTCCAGCGAGCTTTCGTATCTTTCGTGTGTCTCGGGGCCTTTTCAAGCAGCCTTCAGGCTCCAACTGGCCCACCACCTCCTTGTGCGAGATTTTTGTAGGCTACACTAGGAAACCTAGGTAAGTAGCTGTACAGTGTAGAGAGAAGAGGGTTTGAGCTAAAGGGCTTTAACCTGACTGCGACTCACCGCAGCCCTCTTTTGCAGAGTGAAAATAGTGAGCCCAATACGCGACCCAACCTCCGCGCATGGTAGCGGAGCTGGTTCGGTAGGCCCCGACGCTCCTAGGGTGCGCGGGCCGAACCGCCACCCGCCAGCCGCCTTGTCCGAGTGGTGGGGCTGGTGGGACTGGGACTCCGACTGGAGTTCCCAGTGGGACTGGAGGACCTCCCAGCAGGAGGAGGCCTCTTCCAGTCAGGCACCAGGAGGTGCCAAGGGGAGCGGAGCCGCTGAAGCTCCAGCTCGACCGCGCCGCCCTCTCATAGGCGAGCGCACCGAAGCCCCGAACCAGAACCGGGGCAGAACAGCCGAGCCCGAAAAGGGCAAAGGCAAAACCGGCCCGAGTGCGGGCCGCCCCGCCTCGGAGTCGGGGAGCCGAACCCCCCGTCGCGGGGAGAAGGGAGCAGGGAAGCCCACCAAGGGCAAGCCTGCCAAGGCAGCTGCGCAGCCCGCGAAGGGCAAGGCAGCACAAGCAAAAGGAGCAGAGCAGCCCGCGAAGGGCAAGCCAGCTCCAGCAGGCAAGTCCGGCAAGGGCAAGCCTGCGACCCAAGAGCCTGAACAGGGTTCTGGGAAAAAGAAGAACCACCGAGGTGGTCGTTCCCAAGCGGCCCGCGCCAACCGCGAGGCCCGCGGCGCCGAAAGGCGCGAAAGAGAGGGTACAGACCCGGTCGTCCTCGTAGAGGGCCCGGGGACTGATATCCCAGAGCCGCGCACGCCGGAGGAAGCTCCTGCAGGTGCCGGCCAGGCCATTCAGAGCCCAAGCTCTGAATCCTCCTTGGACACCGCGGCGGTGCCCAAGGCGCCAGTCTTCACAGGCCCCGTGCCTGGTGAGGACACTCCAGACTTCGGGGGAAGCAACTCCGAAGGGGAGCGGGAGACCCCGCCCGCTGCTGCTGCAGCTTCTTCCTCTAGCGGGGTCACCCCTGCTAAGAAGGAAGAGCCGGCAGAGCGGGTTGCCCCGCCTGCCTCCGCAGAGGCGGCCGCAGAGCCAGCCGAGGAGGCAAAGCCTAAGGCCGCACCGAAGGCCGAGGCAAAAGAAGAAAGCTCTGGAAGCCCCAGCTCCGAAGCTGGGCAGGAGCAAACAGCCCCGGCGAGTGGACCCACGGAGGCCACCCCGGAGGCAGAGCCGAAGGCCCTAGCGAGAGGTGCTCCGGCAGCCAAAGCACCGACGGTGAAGGCGCCGCCACCTCACTTGGGACCACCGCCTCCACTGAAGGAGGAACCCAAGGCCGCACAGCCAGGGCCAGCAGAGCCCGAGGCTGCGGTACCTCCCGCGCCTCGGGAGGAAGCTCCGGAGCAGGAGCAAGAGCCCACCTCGCCGGCCGACGAAGGTGAGGAAGAGGAGTCTGAAGAGGAGAGCTCCGAGGGCCAAGGACCGTGCCAGTTCCTGAACGGACTCAGGCACGCGGCTCGCAACAGGCCAGAGACCCCTTGGGAAGGCAACCCAAGGCTGGCAGAGCAGTACGGAGAGGCCCTGGTCTTGCTAGACGAGATCAGCCAGGCCATCTTCGACGCCTCAAGGGATGAGCCAGCAACCGGCTTATCCGCCCCCGCAGGGCGACCCCGTGGTCGAGGCTCTGCGCGGGGAAGTCGCAACCCTTAGGGGGTTGTTGGAGAGCCAAGCGCAGCAGCTGCAGGCTGCGATTGGCGAGTTGTCGGCCCAGAGACAACAGGGCCTAGCTGCAGCAGCCGCTACGGCGGCAGCCGCCACGGCGGCACCCGCCCCTGCGTCGCAGGCGAGCGGTGGAGGGCACTTGCTCAAGAGCATGCGGCTCCCAACTTCCCTTAAGGGGAGAGACGACTGGGAGCGCTTTGCCTTTCAGGCAGAGTCTTACCTGGCGGTCGTGGACACCAGGTATCCAGCAGAGCTGGAAATAGCTCGAAAGTGCAAGGCGCCACTCCAAATGGCAGCCATGACCGAGGAAGTGCGGACCCTTAGCGTCCGCCTCTTCGGCATGCTGGGCAGCTGGACCCAGGACTCCGCCACAGCTGTAAAGCTGGCGCGCGGAGTGAAGGGCCAAAATGGGTTCGAGCTCTGGCGTCTCCTGTGGCAGGAGCATAACCCAGAGAACGAGTCCAAGAACCTCACCTGGAGGCGGACCCTGCTGATGCCGAAGTTCCCGCCAAAGGAGAGTGACTTCTCCTTGGCTCTGCAGGAATGGGAGGCAGATGTGGACCGCTACGCCTCCGAGTATGGCGCAGGGCGCGCCCTAGCAGATGAAGATCTGCGGGCAGTGCTGGTGACCGAGAGCCCCACCGCTCTTCGGCAACACCTCGCTATGCACGCGGCGAGTCTTTCGACTTATGCCGAGGTGAGGGAAGTGGTGGTGAGCTACTTGCAAGCCAAAAGGGTCTGGACCCCGAGTGCGGGCTACGCCGCCTCCTCCCGAAGGGATCCTAACGCCATGGACATTGGCAGAATAGGGGACCGAGACGGGAAGGATGGAAAAGGCAAAGGCGACAAAGGCAAAAAGGGGGATAAAGACCATAAGAAGGGCAAGGGCGACCACAACGACAAAGGCAAGAAAGGGGACAAAAAGGGGAACCAGCAAGGAGGCAGAGACGGCAAAGAGAGATGCCCCATCTGCTGGAAAACGGGGCACACCGTAAAAGAGTGCTGGTTCAACGCCAAAGGAAAAGGCAAAGGCACCAAGGGCCAGGTGGCCCAAGTGGCCGACGACGCGGCCACGACGGTGTCAACAGCTTCCTTGGCGACTGCGGGTCCCTCCGCGTCCCAAGTTGGGGGAAGCACCGGCGGCTCTGGCGGCAAAGGCCAGGTGCGCCAGGTGCGCGACGACCGCATCTTAGGTGTGCGGTTTGCCCCGCCTCACGACACCGAGCCAGAGGAGGACAAAATCCTCAAGGTGTCGGGGAGTCTTCTTGTGGACTCCGGGGCGTGTGTGTCCGTGTGCAGGCCCGAGGCGTTTCCCGACCTGCAGCCCGCGGGCCCACCAAAGAGCCTTTACTCGGTGGACAACAGCCGCCTGAAAACAAAGGGCCGTGTCCAGCCGAGCCTCCTCTTAGGGGAGGAGCGTCAGTCCTGCAAGGTCAACTTTGAGGTGACCGAGGACATAGAGGATGAAATCCTCAGCATCAGCCGTGCTGTTGAGGCCGGTGCGGGCATTTGGCTCCACCGAGAGGACAGCCACATTTTGTGGCCCGACGGCGTCCGAGCCTCGATCCTCAAGAGAGGGTCACAGTTCCTCCTACCCTACGAGGGAGCTCCCGCCGGGGTCAACAAACCGGGTGGCACCGGTGGCGGCAGAGCCACCAAACCCAGGCAAGGACCTGGGACACTACGAGTACATCCCGGAGCACGACCTCGAAGCTCGAGAGGTAGAGGACGCGGCGATGGAAGCAGCAGCCGACGAAGAGGCCGCAGCTGCTGAAGAGGAGGAGGCTGCGGGAAACCCCGCCCCTCTAGAGGAGCAGGCCGAGCAGCCTGACTCCAGGCCACGCGGCCTAAGGGCACCGCGCAACCCCACGGCGCAGGAACGCGCCGAGCACGAGCTCACTCACACGCCCTACCAGGCGTGGTGCGAGAAGTGCGTGGAGGGAAAGGCACGCGAGGACCCTCACCGCCGCCGTGAGCCCTCGGATGATCCGGTGACGCCGCTTGTCGCCATGGATTATCAGTTCTACAGCCGGGACGGGAAAGAAGTTGAGGAAGAAGCGTCGCTTGCCACGGTGCTGAACCTCACAGAGAGGGCCACTGGCTGGACTCTGTCAGTTCCCGTGGCGCACAAAGGGCACAGACACGCGGCTTACGCCGCAGGGCTTGTGGAGCAGTTCGTGGACCGCCTGGGGTACGACAAGTTCACCCTGCAGGCCGACCAAGAGAACGCTATAGCCTCTGTGGCCCGTGCGGTCCACCGCCGGCTGGGAGCTGCTAGGGTGCGTCTTCGGGACGCCCCTCGCGGGTCACACCAAAGCCAAGGATCCGTGGAGGGAAGGAACGCACACCTAGCAGGCGAGGTTCGCACTTGGCTTTCGCAGCTAAGAGCGGACTACCCCGCCTTAGAGTGGGACACTTCGTCCAACCTGTTCCCGTGGCTGGTCAGGCACGTGGCCTGGCTGCAAGCCCGGTTCGGGACCAAGTCGACGGACGGGGTGACACCATATCGGGCAGCCACTGGCACCGACTATGGTGGAGCACTTTGCTCCTTTGGAGAAACCGTTCTAGCTAAGCTCCCGAATCCCGGGAACAAAGCGCAGGTGCGCTGGGTCAAAGGGGTTTGGGCCGGCAAGCTGGAGCGCGACGACTCCCACGTGGTGCTAACCGAAGCGGGCGCACTCAACGTGAGGAGCGTCAGGCGACTCCCGCCGGAGACCCGACACCAGACGGCAGCCGTTCTTAAAGCGTGCGGCCTGCCTTGGAACCCTAGATTTGGCCGCTCAGCGCCGGCAGAGCGCAGCGAGCCGATGATGGTTCCAATCCCTCTGGCCACGCCGGCCGAAGAAACGGAGCGGCTAGAACCGCCCGGTGAGCCCTGGCTCTTCAGCGACGGGCCGCGGCCCGACGACGAGGCCCTCTTAGTCGAAGGGGCCGAGCAGGCCAGCAGGCTCCCGGACGCCAGCCCTACCGAGGAGCTGGCCAACGCAGAAATACCGGACTACGAGCCGTCCGACGTGGAGGCAGGACCTTCCGCAGCAAGCGCGCTGCCGCAACAAGCGGCAAGCCCCGCCCCAGCCGCCAACGACGGCTCAGGCGAAGGGGGGCAGAAGCGCGACTCTGCGGGTTCCTCCGCGAGCGCAGCGGCAGCACAGCAGCCGCCTGCAGCAAAGAGCCGGGTGGAGCCCAAAAAGGCACCGCGGCTAGGAGCGCTCACAGAGCGCGAGGTGTGGCAGCACATCGCTGCCTTAGCCGACCCGCCGCTCACCAACCACAAGGGCGAGCGGGACGCGTGGGTTGGGCAGGTGACAGACCTGCTAGACCGGATGCTCGACCCCAAGCAGGTCGAGCAGGCACGCAAGGAGCAGCTAAGAAAGCTGTGGGACCGAGGCGCTTTCACGCCCGTGCTGCGGTCTGAAGTACCGCGCGGGGCGCAGCTGTTCAGGGCAAAGTGGGTCGACAAGTGCGACAAAGGGCGGTACAAGTCAAGGTGTACTTGTGCCGACGTCAAGGCTCGCTACAGCCCAGAACAGGAAGCTGGCTTGGACGTTTTCGTCCCAACGCCAACGCCCGAGAGTCACTCCCTACTTGAGGTAGCAGCGCTACACAACGAGGGGTGGGTCACAAGGTCTCTGGATATTGTGGCCGCCTTCCTCATAGGGAGGGACCGCGGTGCGGCGGAAGGCCGCCCGGTCTACATGCATGCGCCTGTGGAGTGGCGCGAGCTCTTTGACCAATGGGTCTTGGAGCAGCCTGCAAAGGACCAGCAGTGGTACCGAGACCACTTCCGGGACTTTGTGTTCCGAGTGGACGGCAACCTCTACGGCCGAAGAACGGCTGGTTCCGTCTACAGGGACGAGCTGGAAGAAGTCCTCACCGGCAAGCTGGCCAAGGACTACGACTTCCAGCGTGGCGTGAAGGACCCGTGCGTGTACCTAGACCGCCGGTCCGGCCTGATCCTTCTCCACCATATCGACGACATCCGTGTCGCAGGCCCCAAGGCCGCAGTGCTCAAGTTCACGGAGGTGGACCTCCCGACGCACTGTGAGATAACGGTGGGAGAACTGGAAGAGCCGGGCACAGCGGTGGAGGTCCTGGGAAGGACCAAGGTGCGCACAGAGGACTCTATCCTCACGCTGCCCGACAGCAAGCACGCAGAAAATGTGTGCGAGCAGCTGGGCATCGGTCCAAAAGACAAGGGGACCGTGCCTAGCAAACCTCTAGACCTGACCAAGGTCGAGGAGCTCTCTGCGGGTGACGCCGCGAGGTTCCGCAGCGCCGTGGGTAGCGCTATCTACCTATCGGCGGACAGGCGAGACATACAGTTCGCCGTGAAAGAGCTGGCATGAAGGATGCAGAACCCCAGGGTCTGCGACTGGCTCGCTGCGGAAACCCTCGCGCGATACCTGCGGGCAACCCCGCGGTTTGGAAGGGTGGTTGTGCTGGACCCCGCGTCCAAGAGCACAGCCCTTCTGAACTTGGAGGTCTACTCCGACTCCGACTGGGCAGGGTGCCCAGAAACGAGAAGGAGCACAGACAACATAGTTGCCTGTCTCGGGGGAGCAGTCATCCAGACAAGCTGCCAGACACAGCCTGGCCTCCCAGCCACCTCCAGCGGAGACGCGGAGATCCGGGGAGTGTCAAGAGCAGCAAGGGAGGCTGTCTTCCTACGAGAGCTTGCGGAGAAGGACTTTGCCCTAGCCTGCGGCGTGCCGCGGCTCTGGGCAGACTCCGCAGCTTCGATCGAAGCCGCCAAGCGAATAGGCCCAGGGTCCAAGCTGAGACACCTGGAAGTCGCGGAATTCTTTGTCCAAGGCGCGCTCAGAGCCAAACTTCTCGAACTGAGAAAAGTTAAGGGAACCGAAAACCCGGCAAACTTCGCTACCAAGCACGCGAAGACTGGACCGGAGGTGCGGCAATCCCTGCCCTCCATGGGCATGGTGGACCTCGATGCGGTCGCAGGCGCCACCGAGGCTCTGGCCCAAAAGGGCACGATCAAGACGATCCAGGCTAGCCCCTGGAAGATGAGACCGCCGACCAAGCTCACGAGCTCGGCGCTCATGGCCACAATCGTGGCGCTGCAGGTTCGACCTGCCAAGGCCCAAGGGCACGACTTCGCAGAGCTGGTGCTCGGCTTCGCGGCCCTAGGCTTCCTGGCCTTCCTGTGGATGCTTTGGGGTTTAGTCTCCTGGTTCTGCAGGTGCAGACGTGACAGGCAGGAGCCGGAGCCCGAGGATGAGATCGAGCACCACGCCGAGCGTGCCGAAGAGCCGCCGCGTGCAGCTCAAAGGGCCACTGAGATCTGGCTAGGGCCAGAAGAAGAAGCGCCAAACCAGGCGCAGCAACGAGGAGGTGGGCAGCAGCCCAGGGGGGCTCAAGAGCCAGAGCCTGAGGGCGAGCGGACCCCAGGTCCGCCCCCTGTGGCAGACGCGCCACCACCACCGCCGCCCGCTGCACCAAGAGTGCGGCGCAGGCGTAGGGGACCGGAACCCCTTTCGGGGGACGACGAGCATCTCTACGAGACAGCCCGCGGTGACAAGATCCATCTTTTCACCAACTGCAATGGGCTGAGCTCCGTCCCGCCGGATCAAATCCTGATCGGCTTTCGCTGCCACTGTGCAGCAGATCCTCAGAACTCCGAGTTCCTCTGGACCGGGTTCGCCTTTCAAGTGGCCACCGGCCGCGTTGTGCGCCGGTACCACGGCCAACAGCGAGGTTGCCCATTCATGGAAGGGGCAACAATTAGACACAGGGTGTGTCTCCACTGCCGCAACGGGCACCAGAGCACCAAGCCCGGCAGTGCGGTGAACAACTCCCGCCAGTGGGTGCCTCCACCCTAAGGGGCCCCTAGCGGGTAGCACCGCAGGGCGAGCCTTTCGGCTGCCAGCCCTGTGCGCGGGACGCTCCGCCCTACCAGGGGCGTCTCACCCTCCGACTGCGGGATGCCCCGCGGGAGGCTCTCTCAAACCCCTACCTCTAAGGGGGGTGCGAGATTTTTGTAGGCTACACTAGGAAACCTAGGTAAGTAGCTGTACAGTGTAGAGAGAAGAGGGTTTGAGCTAAAGGGCTTTAACCTGACTGCGACTCACCGCAGCCCTCTTTTGCAGAGTGAAAATAGTGAGCCCAATACGCGACCCAACCTCCGCGCACCTTGAGCGAGCTGAGCTGTTCAGATTTCCGTGTGCCCTGAACCAGCCTGCAGCCCCACCTGAATTTTTCAGACTTTCGTAGCGTTCGTGTGTCTCTAGGTTTTTGTAAAGCAGCCTTCAGGCCCGAACTGCTTCACCACTTCCTTGAACGAGCTGAGCTGTTCAGATTTCCGTGTGCCCTGAACCAGCCTGCAGCCCCCCCCCACAAACAGCCTCAACACATCCCTGATCGACTTGAGCATACGTGAGCTGTTGAGATGTCCGTGCGAGTCGAAGCCCTTGAGAAGCCTGCAGCCGGCAGTCACGCCACGATTCCACAACCATGCATGAAGCTTCGAGCTACACCCCTCGACCCTGAAGTTCGAAACCCTCGAACCCAACAGCTGGGGCTCACGCCGTCCGACAAGGGTGCAAAACAGGGTTGATGCAGGACGAAGTCTTTCTCGTGCACATCACGTGCTTCTTGGTTTTCAGAGCTTCAGGACCCAATCGCCTCCAAAATGCATTCCCTGGCACAGCCAATGTTCGCTGCATTGCTAGGGACTCCCTGCCCCACCGCCTCAGCCGGCTCTTAGATGTTGGAGGGTCATGTGCGAAGTCGGAGCATGGAAAAAGTTCGAGAGATTGGCCAAGGGTTGGGTCTGCAGATATTGTCAATAGGTAGGAAACAGGTCCACAGGAACCGGGGCCGGGGCTCACCCCGTCCTCGGCCAGGACTCGGAGCTCACTACGCAGGGTCAGGCGCGGCGTTCAAGACGCATCTGTTCTGGACAGCAGCTACTGCATGTGAGGTTGTGCCGGCATGTCCGACCACTCCGGCGAGGCGGCTGAGCGCGCTCACAAGCTGAACCAAACCAGGGACCTGCTCGCCTTCAAGGCCCAAGGGAGCAGCCTGGGCCGTGTTTTCGGCCACTGCATGCTGAAGCTCAACAGGGACGGCCCTCTCCGGGGTGGCGAAGTGTTTGGCAAAGGCTGCCAGAACAGCAGTGCGGCCAACAGCCGTTTCAGAGTCGGTGTGGATCACCGGCACAAGCGGTGGCACACGAAAGCGACGCCCACAGCGGGGGTCCGCACGAAGTTTGTATTGGAACTCCCTGGGCCCAGCTTCGCGCGCCTGGCGGAAAGCACGGCGCGCGAACTCAAGCAGCCTCAACCGGACCGGGCACTGTCACCGGAGAAGGTCGCAACGCCGGCCTGCCCGTTTCTGGGCGGTCCACGCATGAAACCGGCGGCCGCGGGAAAATTCGTGCAGATTCTGCAGGCCCGGGCCCTGTGTTGTCTTGGTAACCCACGCTGTTCTGAGTTGTGTGCATAGCATGCGCTTCTGCGAGGAGGCAGGCGTCGATCACTGCAAGACGTTCCAATCGACGCACTACAAGCAGGGCAAGGCTCCTGGTAAAGGACATTGGAAGGAGTTCACGGCTTGGGTTGCTGGTTGGGAGCCCGTGCAGGAATGCCAGGACTGCCAGGCGTGCCAGTCTCTTCTGGACACCTTCAAGACTCAAAGAGGATAAGGCGAGGGCATCCGGCTTTGACACCAGGAAGAGGACAATGCCCGACACGGGTGTGGAGTTGCCACCGTTGGGACGTCGAAGGAGGGATGCAGAGAAGCGCTTCAGCATATGGGAGTGGGTCGAGCGGGACTGCAGGAAAGGGGTTTTCCAGCACATGCCTGTTCCTGGGCTGCAGAACGGGCTGCTGTTCCGATGCACTGTATGTATGCCTCGCCGTGGTGAACGTCCAGAGGGCGAGCACGGAGTATTGGTTGCGCAAGCACGAAGAGTGGAAGCAGCACCAAGTCTTACTCTTGTCTTGGAAATCAGAGCAGAAGGAGGCTCACACATCTGACTCACAGGCCTCCTCGGACGCCTCCCCGGACTCAGCTGTGGTTGAAGGTTCGGGAGACCCCGAGCGAGGAACCGGCAGCCTGGCGGCAGCCGCGCGCAGACCTAGCAGGCAGTCTGCAGTGTGCGTGCGTGCCCAGTCATGCTCGGAAGCGAAGACGCCAGTCTCATGCCCAGCTGGACGCGGAAGCTGCCGCGAGCGTTTCGCACAGTCGCCGAAGGTCTTGCGCCACATTTGTGGCTAGGCGTACAGAGTCGACCAAGTTCAGCTGCTGCACCTGCTGCTCACAAGGCAGAGCCAGGATGTCCAGGACCACCTCGACGAGATGCGGTCGGCAGACTACGGCCAGCATCTGCAAATCGACCTTGACAGTATCGCCAACAAGACCTACGCAGAGATGCTTACCGGCTTCGCAGAACGTTCGCGAGCATCAGGCAGGACCAGAGGAACCCGGCTTTGCATCAGTTCATCCAGTCGCGCCTCGACTGGCTTTCTTATCACTTAGGAGAGACACGGCAGGCGCTCAAGCATCGGCAGTTGGTGGACCGGCTCGCTGCAGGGCTAGCCGGTAAGGGGGTGATCTGTGTCTTTTTTGTTCGCGTTATCTGTGTCTTTTTTTTCTGCGTTTTCTGTGTCTTTTTTTCTCTTTGTAGGTCTCATGTCCCAAGGAATGGCTCCCCGTACCCAAGTTTTTGGGTAATCTGTGTCTTTCTTTTTTGCGTGATTTGTGTCTTTATTTTTTGCGTTATTTGTGTATTTTTTGCCGTTCGCTTTCAGAATTTACCCACGTCTGTCTGCATTGAATTGTACACGTGTGTCAGGGCCTTGAAATTGGTTATTTGGAGTAAAAACTCAGTACGCGGAACGCGCTTCCGCTGACCGGGCCTTGTGCAACCGCTCCTTGAGAGTGCAAACAGAGTACGCGGAACGCTCTTCCAGTGGCTTATGCCCTAGTCTTTGGTGACCATGCATCTTGCGGCTTGGCACAATGGTTTTGGTTTGAGCGAGGGGGAAACCCGCCCTGGAACCGCTCCGGAAGCCGCTGCGACTGCGGAAATGCTCCGGAACCCGCTCCGCCTCGCTGACAAGGAGCCAGCATATGATGAACCCCACGGGTCCGGCGTGTCTAAGGTATATGACAGTTGGACCGAGCGCGCCGCTGTCGGCTGGTCGTCGTCGGCGTCGAAGTGGGCGGCAGGTTTGGTACCGAAGCAGTACAATTCCTGCGCCTCCTGGCTGGCCATCGGGCAGCGTCGGTGCCGGCCCACCTGCGGTCCGCCGCAGTCGCCTCCTGGGTGGCTCGCTGGTCCGGACTGTTGGCTGTCGCTGCCCAGCGCGCCTACGTAGCCACGCTCCTCGAGCTCCCCCCTGCCGCCGAGCTCGGCATGCCTGCCTTGCATGAGGTCCTTGCCGATGCGCGCTGGGGGTGAAGGCGCGCTGTCCCCCCTTAGCCTCCTTCGCCCGTAGTGCGCAGGTAGCACAGGGACCCGGACGTCTCGTTTTGCGGTCGCCAAAAAGGTGCGTGGAAAAAAAAATATGACAGCCGGAATCGCCAAATGAGGGGCTTGTTTAAGATATAGGATGAGCCGGAATCGCCCAATCGGGGGGGCGTGTTTAACATATATGAGGGACCCAGCTGGTCTGGCGTGTCTAAGGTATAAGATAGCCGGAATCGCCCAATGAAGGGGGGTGCTGAAGATATATGATGAACCGCATTGGTCTGGCCCGCAATCGCCACATGAGGGGCGTGTTTAAACATTTGTGATAAACCGGAATCCTTAAATGGGGGTGTGTTTAAGATATGTGATGAACCCCGCTGGTTTGGCGTGTTTATATATATATATATATATATATGTGATAAAAGGGAATCGCCCAATCGGGCGGGGGGGGGGGGGGCGGGGGTGTTTAAGGTATGTGATAGTCGGAATCGCCAAATGAGGCGCCTGTTTTTATATATATATATATATATATACATGTTTACATACATACATACATACATATATATATATATATATTAATAATAAACCGGATTCGTCCAAGGGGGCGTGTTTAAGATATATGATGAACCCCACGGGTCTGGCGTGTTCAAGGTATATGATAACCGGAATCCCCATTGGTCTGACGTGTTGAAGGTATACGATAGCAGGAATCGCTGGATGAGGGGGGCTTGTTTAAGATACATGATGCACCGGCAACGCCAAATGAGGGGGGCCCGATTAAGATATATGATGAACCGGAATCGTAACTAAATTTCATAGTTTTTGAGTGTTTAATGGGTAGTTTTCGTGTTCTAAAGTTTCTTACGTGGCTTTCCATTATTCAGTATTGATGCCCTGTTGGATTGTTAAGCTGATCTTCAAACCGAAAGAACCGCGGCGCAGATAACCCAAAAGAACCAACGGAAATATCCATCAAAACTGTAGGAGAATCAGCCTCAGGGCCCATGAGGAATGCAGTGTCTAAGAATGAGCGGGGGAACGCGTTTGGGATGTATGATGCACCGGAATCGCCAAATGAGGGGGAGTGTTTGAGATATATTATGAACCGCAGTCGTTATTATTGTTTTTTCGAAAGTTTGTATAGTTTTTTACTGGTTACTGCTGATTTCTGTTGGATTTTGGAGTTAAAATCCAGACCAACAGGAAAAAGACGCAGACAACACAAAAAAACAGGCAAGGAACCCAGTGATTTGCTAGAAAACACAGTAGGTGCCAGATAGCACCCAAAAAAAGACGCAGATAACCCAAAAAATGACGACTCAAATAACCCAGTATAACCCAGTGATTTGCTAGAAAACGCGGTAGATGCCAGATAACGCCAACAAAAAAAGACGCAGATAACCCAAAAAAAAAGACGCATATGACCCAAAAAATAAAGACGCAGATAACCCCAAAAAACCGGCCTCATCCATTTCATTGAGATTGCGTCTCTCTTGCGCAGAGCACCGCCAGTGCGGCCGAGCGAATTGGCGCGGTCAATGCTCGCCGTGGCCGACTGCGAAGCGCACGAGGCGCAGCGGAACGTAACGGCGGAGGATCGTGCGTCGGCAGCGGCACATAGGAGCTTTACCCGACGGGCCATTACCTTTGCAAGCGGCTGTGCTGCTGTGTATGGGCCCGGATGGCTACTTATCAGCAGCAGCGCAATCCACGTTGCTCGAATCGTACGCAGGAGCCGCCGGAGCAACCGCCGCATGGGCTCTTGCAGACGATGCGCGCCGCGCCCAGCACGCAGATCGTGGGGAGCGCTCGCAGACGGCTCGACGTGGCCGACGGCGTGCCTGCCGCCGTGTTGCGCGCGACCCGAGCCATGAAGGCGAGGATGGCGTGCCTATCTGCCCGGGTCGCGCAGCACCTAGGGAAGATGCTACATGCACGACAACGGGGATCCCGGAAACGGCAAGGGCCACCCTTGACGCTGTGGATATGACCGAGGAGCTGCGAAGTTTTGTTTTTAACAATGCAGGATGTGCCGCCGTTCATGCGATCGGCTGTTCGCGCGGCACTGGTCACTGCGCTGAGCCGCATCCGCGACTCCACCAGCGGCCGCGCCACGACGGACGCCGCCCGCACGTCCCGTGCATGGAAGCTGTTCCTCCTTGCCCCTCGCATGCTCCTCGCACGCACGGCCAATCGAGGAGCCCAAGGGCGGGACGAACTCTTATCCCGCGCATCAGCGTTCCAGCAAGGAGACTGGATATCGTTGCTGGCCGCGGCGCGCCGGTCTGTCGCGTCCAGCCGTCGGGTCAAAGCATGCGCACTCTTGTATTTCAACCCCTCACGCCTGTGTATCCTGCCAGCTTCCGGTGGGGGTGTTCATACCTTTCGGCTTTACTGTCTTATCTTGCTCACTTGCAATGGGACGTAGCAAAGCCTAATGCGTCGTGCACCTGGGTCGAGCTGGCGCTCGACTTCGAATGCTGCTTGCACGTTTTGCTTCCCCCTATAGTGGCCAAGTCAACACCAAAGTCGATAACATCGGCCGCAACAGTGCAACTCTGATATCCAGAGCTCATTCTATGCACAACATGTGCCTTGTTCTTGCGAAGAGGTTCGATGTCGCATCAGGTTCTCATGAGCTTTACAAGGACGTCAGATTCTGCTGGGCTCTCAATTACCTTGGGCTTGATCGGTCATCTGGGGTACAACCGAGACCGGTTTTAGCAGCCGCCGAGCAGGTGTACATGATTATTGAGCGTGCTGCTTCTTTTTCCAAACGAGCACCGCCTTCGTTGGCCCAAGCTGCCTCGTCACAAGCCTCTGCTGTGGCAGAGTGGATTCCTCAGCCATCTGACCAGCTTCTCCCGGAGAGCCGTGTCACCACCCAGATTCGGCAAATGCAGCGAGCACAAAGGTACTTCAGCGTGAAGCTCGAAACTCTTGCATCCCAGAGTGTCGGAGCAGCATCCGCTGCAAGAGACAAGAAGCGTGCTGCCACTAGGTGGGACCAGCAGAGGACTCAGCACAACGCGGAAGGACCATCCTCCCGCAAGCACTTGTTATGCGTCGCGCACGCATACGATGAGCCGCAGCGCTGTGAGCTATGTAGCAAGGTGTTCCGGGTGAGCCAAAAGAAGCAAGCTCTCAATGACGCATGTCCTCGATCTGCAATTTTGCAGAGGCCTGGGATGCAGCAGCCGCGGCCATGACAGCACGTGAGAATGAGAGCACTTTTCCGCCGCACCCGTTTGTGGAAGCCGATGTGATGCCTGACCACGTGGAGGAGCATATCCGTGTGCTTGCCCGCGAAGGAGCCACGGATGATTCCGGTTCTGTGCTCAGTTCACCGTTCGCGGTTGGAAGCACCGGGCCATGATTCAAAGCGTCTTCCGAGCCCACCAGCACAATCGTGATGCAGGGCATGCAGCTCTGCATATCTTGAAGTTAGAGACATTCACGTCTCAGAATGATAGCATTTCTTGCTGTGTGTGCAACGCTTCCAGCTCCAGGAAGCATCTTGACCGGCTCAGAAAGCGATCCTGCCCTGTGGCAGTTGCTAACCCTGCGAGGTACACTGCAGGCTGGCATGCCGCGCTGCGTAGTGTCCTCTCCACCATCGCCAAGCTGCATGCTGCAGCTCCAGATTGAACACCATGCGAGGTTTGGTGCGGCTGTGGGTTCTACTTGCGCCGCATTGTCTAGACCGACCGGTCTGTCGCGTCCACGCGGGGCGAGGCCCTGGACGCTGCATGAAGCCCTCGCCGAGCGCAAGCACGAACAAGCGTGCGCGAACGTAAAGGTGGGCGAGCTTTCAAGAGCCCGTCAGCTCCTTACTGCTGCAGAACTTGCGCCCGGCGACGAGGATACGTGACGAGCTTTGCTTTGACAGACCCCACAAATAAAGCGTCCGCCGGAACCGCGAACCCCCATCCCGGACGCCGTGCAGGAACCACGGTGCATGCCCCGCCCACCCCATCCAAGTTGGACCATCTGTTGTTGCAGCAGCGTTGCGCGAAGCACGGCGACACGTATGCGCGCGGAGCATTTAAAGATTCTGCTCATTGACGTTGCCTTCTCGCCTTCGCGGCGACCAAGCTCGCGAATGCGGAAGTGCCCGCCGACATCGTCCCAGCCTTTGCTTTGGCACGCATAACGGCGCTTCGCAAGCCCGGCGGTGTGCGCGGTATCGCGACGGGCGATGTGTTTCGCCGCCTCGTCTCGCGAGGGCGACGGTGTTTGATCAGGCGACGCGACCGTACCAATTTGCTTTGCAAGCACGTGCTGGCACGGACGCCCTCGCGGCATGTGTGCGAACAGCATTGGAATTGCGCGATGACGCAGTTTTGGTTTCGCTCGACGGGCGGAGTGCCTACGACACCATGTCTCGGGCGATCTCGGGCGTCCTTCCTGACTGCACTCAAAGCGGCCGCGCCAGAGTTGCTCCCTTTCGTGCGGCTCTTTTACGGGGGACCGTCCACTTACTGCTGGTGGGATGCCCAAGGCAGGTGCCGGAACATCGCTCAAGGAAAAGGGTGTGAGCCAGGCGACCCGCTAGCCCCTGCGCTCTACTCTTTGGGACAGCACGCAGCCTTGCGGAAAGCGGCCTCTGCTCTCTACTCCTCCGACACCTTGTTGGCATTCCTCGACGATTTGTACGTCATCACTACGCGCGAGCGAGCACGAGCCGCCCGCGACACAGTAGTCGAGGTTGTTCAAGCCATTTCAAGCCGAATGTGGTATTGCTTCCAACGACGGGAAGACGCGCGCATACAGCAGCGGCGAAGGGCCGCCCCCTCCGGGCATAGCTGCGCTAGGGGCGGACGTTTGGCGCCGAGCGCGGGCTTTTAGTGCTGGGCACCCCTGTCGGCCACCCAGCGTTCGTGACCGCGTGGGCTCAGTAACGGATGCGCTGACTTGCAGTGCGCATGGCTGCTCTTTGCGCGATGTGTGCAGCACCGCGAGCTAATCATGCGCTGCGGACAGTCCCGCCGCATGCCGTGGCCACTTACACCCAGGCACATGACGATGCCATCTGGGAGACTCTGCAACTTTGCCTCGGAGACGTCGCCCCGGCAGTTGTTGAAGGCGCAAAAAGCATGGCAATGTTACCGGCTGCCCTGGGAGGCCTTGGCTTGACTTCTGCTACTCGCAGCGCGCCTGCTGCATACTGGGCCGCGTGGGCTGACGCGTTGTGCCCGTTCTGCAAGCGCGCTTGCCTGCCAGCGTTCGCGGAAGCGTGCACGCGTCTGCTCACAACAGCAGAAGGCCGCGCGCCGAGTCTCAGGAGCGCAGCTGAGGCCCGCCACCTGTTACAGGCGGAAGGTTGGCGCGAGTGCCCTACTTGGGAAGCAGTCGTTGCGACCACCCCGCTCAACCGACCAAGGCTTAGGCGACTGGCCACGTGGATGGCAGCACAGTGCATCGCATTCGCCCTCCGCTGGAGCCCTTCTCCGGTCGCGGGGCTTGGTTGACTGCCATACCCAGTGAGCCAGCCGACACGCTTCCACCCCAAGCGATGCTGCTGGCACTGCGCCGTCGCCTGCGCCTCCCATTGCTCTGTGCCAACTGTTGTGGCCCGCCCGGGTGCGGAGGCGTGGTGGATGCTTACGGCGACCATGCCTTGGCCTGCCCTCGCATCGGTCTGTTGGCTTGCAGGGCAAAGATTGTGGAGCGGGCATGGGTGCGTGTGGCTCGGGACAAGTGGTCCCCCAGCAGTTTGTTAGCGCACACAACCGCACCCAACGTCCGCTCCGACGACCGGCGCCGCCTGGACCTCGTCATCTACGGTGCGACGCCTCTTGGCGGGGCTCTTTGCTGCGACGCGACGCTGGTTTCGCTGCTGTCGCGCACGGGCTTGCCGCAGCCTTGTGCAGCTGAGCATGACGGTGCAGCCCTGCGCGTAGCGGAGCGCCGCAAGCGAGCCGCCTACCCCGAGCTGAACCCGGCGGCCCACAACAGCTCGTGGTGTTGGGGAGCGAGAACGCTGAATGCCGGGATGTGGTCCGCGTCCGTGCCCGACGAGCTCCACCAGCCATGCGACGTGCTGCATCGACGGCATGGGCCAGGCGTTGGTGGGCCATACTGGCAGTGTCGGTCCAACAGGCCGTCACAAGCACAGCGCTTGGGTATGCTTGGGTCAGCTTGGCCCGCACCGCTCCACGCGAGCCAACCATCGGCCCCGTGGCTGGACCGAGTGCTGGACCTCGCGGATGTGGCGGGGCCGAGCCGTCTGCCACTTCGCGGCCAGTAGGGATGAAGTGTCGTAGTGTAGACAGCTGCTCCGCGCACAAAGCATGCAGCAGGAACCCAAGCCATGCAGGTGCAAAAGAGGCGTTTAAAAAAAGTGTCAGTATTCCGACCGCAACCACGCACAGTGCAGCAAGACAGCTTAGTTCCTCGCTGGCTATCGTGGGCATCAGCTGCAGGCAGGTGTAGCGAGGTTGTACATTTCCAGCTGTTTTCTACCAAATCACCCGTGGACCAAGCTGCCGCCTTCGTCCGCCACCTTGCCCGGCACCGTGCGGCCAGCCTTCCCCCACTCCTCCGAGCCGCTGCCTGCGCGGCTGGGTTCAGCGCTGGTCAGGCTTCCTCGTCCCTCCTTGAGCTACGGCCTGGAGGTGACTTTCGCGGAGCCGAAGAGGCGCCACGAAGTTCCGCCGAGGTCCGAGGTGGCCCGCCGCTCGTCGCTAGCCGCCGTCGGCGCCCTGCGGCTAGCCAGCCCGTAGAGCGCAGCTTTCACGTGCACTGGGACCGCGAGTACCGTTCGAAAAGAGGCGCGTGACAAAAAAAACAATCTTCGTGCAGTGTGCTTCGTCTCGCGGTGATGTGTTGCCCAAGGAGCCAGGCGACTGGCCAAAAGCTTTTGCAACATCTCCGTGGATCATGGATGAGAACCACAGCTTTCATGATTTTCCACGGCATCGTTGCCATTGTGTTGGTTGGGCATGCCGGTGTGCACTTTTTGAGATTCTGGCAACAAAAGGGTTGGTTTTATTTCATTAATCTTTCGCTGCGTGACAGCTTTAGGGGTTCTTGAACAGATCCTGCACTTTTGGCGCCATTCTATGAGGGTCCGGGCAACTTAGAATTGATGCTCCGTCGAAAAGCATCCCAGCGCTCGTGAAGGTGGTGATGGCTTTGTTCTCCATGGTGCTGCCCTCTTCAATCTTGTCTGCAATTTTGTACTGCGCCTTTGCATGCCTTTGCGCCCTCGTTCCCGCCTCCGGTCCCCTGCGTAAGCCTGTCCATGGCGGCGACGTGATTCGCTTAACGTCAATTTCTTTGCCAGCCGTTTCCCTGACAATCCTTACACTTTCGGCAAGTTTGTTGGGGTAACGATTTTAGCTTGGAGCTTCCTTGTGGACCCTAGTTATCCTTGAATGAATGCTCCATGCATGGCGAGCTAGATTGGCGCGACCCGTTGCCCCGAGGAGGCGGTGCCAAAAATGGGTTCGGCGGACTTGAGCTGCGCTCGGCAACCGCCGACCGCCATGCCGCGTACTGGGTCTTTTGGCTCGACGCACTGCCAGCAATCCGAGCTCTCCGGCTCTCCGCAGATCGCCGATGATCGCCGACAACCTCCTGCATGCGCTCACCGCACCCCATGCCAGTGGCTCACCTGCCGTCGCAGCGGCCGCGCAAGCCGCCGCACCTCCTCGCCACTCAAGGCTGAGACGCACGCACGCAGGCACCGTCTCCGAGGCCGGCAGCGGCACGCCCCTGCCCCCAGCCGGCTCCCGCGACCTAGGCTGCCGCCACCACGTAGATTGCGGGGAAGGTGCCATCCCAGGGCAAAGGAGTCCTTATGTCAAGGACGAAGGAATTGACAACGCACCTGATAGGCTCTGAGAGACATCCCTAACCATGAAGGGGTTTTGTCCTAACCGCAAACAGGGTCTGCCTTAACCATGCCAACATTTCTGTCCTAACCGTTGCACCGGCTTTGTCTTAACCCTGGATCGGATTTCTGTTAGCCGCGTGCACGCATTTTCCTAGTCGCGAAGAGTTGGTGCACTGCTTTCGGCGCTGCACAAGTGCCGGGTGGAGCTGGTGTCGGGTTTGGGCTCACTGCTTTCAGGCCTTGCCAAGTCTTGCAAGCATGTTAAACGTCGGGGGGCTGCTGGGCTCGAGTCACAGCTGGGTGGGTGACATGGCGAAGCCATGGAATCTCAACGACGTGTACAGCGAGGCATCCGCAATAAAGCATCCA